TCTCTTTTGATTTTATATTGGAGTGGCCAGATTGCTTTTGTCTTCAGGAGTTCCCACAGAGGGCCAAGTCAGATGAGGATCAGATGCTCTCAGGCTTTCTCCTAAGGCCTGGATCCCTCCAGGAAAGATTTTGGCCTCAGGAATTTGGGGGTTGGACTGGCCTGGGAGCCCGGCCCAGGAAAGATGCTGATCTAGGGCCATGCCACCCAGAGATACAAAGTACTATGGGGGTGGGAAGCGGCCCCAAGGGCTCCTGGGGCCTACACTGAGGAGCTGGGTTGGTCTGGATGCAAAGGATCATGAAGAGGAAAGGTCAGCCCCAGTGTCCAGTATAGATGCAGTATAGATGGGTTATGCAGGCCCAGGGAAGTAGAGGGAGGTGAGGGCCAGGCCAGGCCTAGAGTGGTCCTAGGGACCTGAGAAGGAACTGAGTTGGTTTGGATGCAATGGATCAGGAAGCAATGCCCTGGTGTCTGGGAAGCCAAGATCAGGAATTGGGCAGGACCCAGGCTATGAGGAGAGATGGGTGGGGGAGATGGGAGGATGAATGAGGCTGGGGGAGTCAAGGCATGGAGGATGTGATTGACTTACCCAGGAGAGAGGCCTCTGGGCAGGAGAGAGGCCTGAGGGTAGTGCAGGCCCAGGGAAGCAGAGGGAGGTGAGGGTGGGGCCAAGCCCAGAGTGCTTCTGGGGACCTGAGAAGGAACTGACTTGGTCTGGATGCAAAGTATCAGGAAGCTGTGGTGGTTCCCCAGGTGTCTGGGGCCCCAAGACAAGGAATAGGACAGGACCCAGGCTAGAAGGCGAGACCACGGGGGAGATGGGAGGGTGAATGAAGCCGGGGAAGTCATGCGCGGAGGGTGAGATGGACTTACCCTGGAGAGAGGCCTGAGGTTCGGAGCACAGTTGTGATTTTTTTAGCCCCACCCCTTTGTGACCTTCTCTAGTGGATCATGGGAATAAATAACCTAACAGGGAGAACCAGTACAACCATGATTTGGGAGGGAAAAGAAAGATCATTTTATCCCGTGACTATTCCATCCATCTATAAATATTCATGGAAACTTCTTTGAAACCCAGAACACAGAAACTAGTAGGCCCCTATCCTCTGTTTGGGACAGCCCACTTTAATTTTTCTTTGGATTGTATGCTTTGTTTTGCATTAGGAAACAAACCTCTGCCTGTCTATGCCTCTTGACTGAGTTCTTTCCTTCAAGTAGATAAGAATGGAGAATCCAGTAACATGGCTTCATTTTCTACTTTCAGATAAGGCTGACCATAGTATCACTTGACTCGAGCCTTTATTAATTCCTAAGACAGAGATTCCTAGGTTTTGCCTATGACTTTTTTCTTTTTGCCTTTGCTACATCAAGCTAATTAAAGCTGGCTTTGTGGGGCTACAGGCATGTGTTTAATCTTCTGTTAAGTGGCTTCCAAGGATTTTCTTATTAAACATGGTGCTGCTACATTAAAAAAAATCAGCATTAATATTTAAGTAGGTTTTCTATCGCAGACATGGTTTGTTTGGCAGTTCAGCACCGTTCATTCTATTCATACTACACTGCTCTTGCACTTTTGAAAAATAAGCAGTCAGAGAGCTTGGGTAAACATTTTCAATGTAGGTAAATCAGTCTAAAGTACTACCTTTGTAGAGAGTATCAAAATTCATCCTCATCCTGCTTTGTTCAGTTGGGGGATCTGGTGCTTCTAAAGATAGTCACTCATGTAACTAACCTGAGCCACTTTCAAAGAAATTACTGTGTTTACCTATCCAGGATAAAACCCTAGTTTCCAAAAATGTACATAAGGTAAGCTGCAAAAGAATGAAGCTTAATCATTAGTCCGACATGTTCCAATTTTTACTATTCTAAATAAATCTGTATATAGCCTTAGGATAAATCACTGCAACTACAATCAATGAATAGGATGAGCATTTTTCTGTTCTAGTTGAAGCTGGCTTGGGTCTGTTCTCGGGTCCTTTTCTTCACCAGGTAAAGAATTACAAGAGAACTTTGCAATCAAAGCACACAGCCAAGGTTTATTGAAGTATAAGCAACACTCCACACAGTAATGAGACAAACTCCCACCATGGGGGAAAGGGTCTGGAGCTGGAGCACTGGCTACCCCCCTGGAGTCTGGGCTTTTATACTCTATAGGGTAGGAAGTGGGACAGGACTTGGCTTCCCTTTTCCCCTTTGGATCGGATGGGGCAAGATGCATGCTGTTGGTTGGTTCATTCATATGAAAGCAGAAACCTGATTGGGTAGAGAAAAGGCAGAAAATTTGAAATTGTCACCAGAGGAGGGCTCCTGACTAATAGGGAGAGCCTATCAAAAGCGTCAACTTTGGACAAGAACCAGAAAGTAGGCCATTTTGGATACAAGGGAGAGTAGTTGGGACACTGCTGAATCTATCTAGTCTAGAACATCCTCCAGTCTGAAGGCCTCTTCCCCTATTTGCCTAGTTCAGAACTATCCGTCTTCTATTCTCCTTCACAGTCACATATGACTTATGTTTTTAAAGAGTTTTACCCATGGGATCCTACCAGAAATCAAGTATTCCATTGAGCTTACCATCTAAAAGTTTTGCATACACACTTGAGGTAAGAAATATTTTACATATATACAGCTTTTCAAAATGCATAGGATGGGTCGGTAGTTCTCAGTTGGACTGTGTAAGTCTCAAACTTAATAAACAGAAAATAAAAAAGTTATAAGGCACGTGGTAGAAATATAGGGGGTATAAATTATTGAATAATAATTGCTTATAGGCACAGGCAATCAGATGGTAGTTTTGTATATAGACAAGCAAAACCAGGGATCCAAAACTTAATTTCTGTTTTGAAATTATTGGTGGTGCATGCCTTTAATCCCAGCACTTGGGAGGCAGAGGCAGGTGGATCTTTGTGAGTTGGAGGCCAGCCTGGTCTACATAGTGAGTTCCAGGACAGCTGGGGCTACAAGGAGACCCTGTTTCAAAAAAAAAAGCCAAAAAAATAAAGTCGAGTTTTTATTTTATAGGGTCTGAGCATATCTTGAAAAGGTACATTTTAATACCATTGTTCTAGGGTTAATGATAAAAATGGGTCAGGCATCGCTGCCTTTGCTTTCCTCCTGAACGCCACCTTTACTTGTTGCTCCTCACTCTGGTTCTCCACTGTGTAGTAATACTTGCTAGTGCTGAGTACCTCAAAGACTCCTAATCTTGAACTTCAGCTAAACCTACATATTCCGCACCTCAGAACAAAATGAAAAAGAAAGGAAATAGAAGAGGAAAACAAAGAAATTCATTCTGAATACTAGACTTCTGGGCTAAAACAGAAAAATTACCAGGCTTTGCTTCACAGCGGTTCTACAACCTGAAGGGGTTAAGTGGCACTAAAAGTCTGTTTTCTACTAGAAGGGGAACCTTCCCCACATCTCGATGCCCCACTCTCCAACTAATAAACGAATAAATAAACTAATAAATAAAGGTCAGTCTTGCCTGAACAGAGTATGGGAGACTAACCATCAAAGACTGGTAACAGTCATAAGGGACCTCTAATCAGTAGGAACCAGGACATCTGGACTGCCTGGAGACCTGGGGACAATGAAGCCACTTGGTGAGATACTGCAAGAATTAGCGACCATTCCAGAGTCCACCTGGCTATGACCCCCTCCTCCCAGAAACGCCACACAAACTCTTGTGCCTAGCCCCCTGGCAAGATGTAATTGGATGAAAAAGTCCTCCATTTCCACATGCCGCCTTGTTGCCAATGGCGCTCTTTCCCTGTCAGTGTCTCATGAGTTACAGGTTTCATGAGCGGCAGAAGAACAGGACTTTTCATGGACTCAAAACTAGGTCCAGCCCCCGCCACCTCCTCCCTCCTTTGGGAGTAGCAGCTGAGCGACCCAGGTCCTCGCCAGCTTTACTCGCCACGTGGTCTCGACGGCCTGGAGGCGGGCGGAAACTACAACTCCCAGGGTCCCTCGCAGGGCCGAGGAAGGCGGGCAGCGCATAAAGCGGCTGTGCAGCGAGGCCGCGCCGGGGGTCCGTGGCGTCAGCGGCGTGGGCGCTCACGCAGGGCGGGTCGCGGCGCCGGGCGGGAGGGGAGTCGTGGCGGCGGCGACAGGAACAGTAGCGACGGGTCCACAGGACAGCAAGGACGGCGGGAGTGCGGTGCTGACAGGCGGTGGGAGAAATGGGAGACCCAGGGCCCGAGGTGAGTGGGGAGGCCCGGGCCCTGGCTTCATCAAGCCGACCCACCGAGGCTTCGCTCTCTCGGCGGGAGGCCTGAGCGCGGCCTCGGGCGAGTCCTCAGCGTCCCGGCCCCCTGGGAGTCGCGACCAACCCAGCCTTCCGGCCTGGTGCACGGCTGCGCGGAGCCGTCAACAATGGCCGCCCGGCCGCCCACAGCCCTGTTCGCCCGGCAGCTCCGAGGGTCGTGCAGCTCCGAGCCCGGCTGGCCTTCCGCAGGCAGCCTACATCTGTCCTCCTGGGCCCGGGCTTGGGAGCTCGCCTGGGAGGTTAGGTTGCTGCAGCTCGAGCAAACCCGGCTTCCTTGCAGTACTCTGAGCGGATCTTCCTGCTCTTTCCCCCAGGGGCTTTTGTTTTATTCCTTTTTGGAAAAATCTCTTCCCACAAGCGTGTAACCGAATAGATAAGCGTGTTTTGGCTTTTGTTTATAGATAATAGAATCTGTCCCACCAGCTGGGCCTGAGGCATCTGAGTCAACAGCGGATGAAAATGAAGATGACATTCAGTTTGTTAGTGTAAGTAGCTACTGATAAGCGGGTTTCTGTGGAGTGAAAGAGTATGGTAAGCCATTGTGTAATTATGCCTCACCAGGCATTGCTCACTCAACATGAATGTCTAACAGCTTAATGCCACACTGTGGTGCGTTGGACGTTTACAGAACGGGTACCTGAACGGTAGCAGTAGGCATCACAAAGAGCATGTTCTAAAGAATGGTTTTGCACTTCAGTGACACCTCCCAGGTTTTCATATACATACATCCATTTTGTATTTGGGATAAAATTCTTGTCTTAAGATTGTGCTTTGACATGAGGCAAGAATGAGTGTCTTCTAAAAGTAGGCAGACAACTAGTTAATGATAAGGAAGGAAATAAGGGTTGTTAAGAGGTCAATATCTTAGTATTCTGTATCTTCAAAAGATAGTTTGAGGACTTCACTAACCTCTGAGGTCATCTGTTACAGCACAGTGCAGCAGTTGATGCTCATAATGAAGAATCCTGCTCAGTAGGAACATGGTATGCTTTTCTGAGTTTTCCCTTTGAGACAGTAGTTTTCAAGCCTTTGTTATGGGTAAACAGGCAGATTCCTGGGCCCACTCCAGATCTGTGTATCAAATTCGGGGTGGAGCATAGGAATCATCATTTTTGGAATAAAATGCAGGACATAGGTGACTCTCCACTTCATAAAGTGTTGGTTGGGGGAAAATAAATGGCATATTTGGGGGATTAAAACCTATAGTGGTTAAAGTTTTACATTGGCTCTGCCTGAAGTAGTAGTTAGCCAGAGACTATTTCTCTTACTTGCAGCTCTCCTGAAACTCTGTAGTTAGTTGCAGCTTGGTATTAAAACTGTATTATTTTTTTTCTTTGTTCATCTGATATGTTTGTGGATGTTTTGGTCACCTGTAGAATACCGGTTTTTAAAGAACATCTTCCCCAGTCTTGGACCATTGTGGTAATCCATTGTGTATTGTGTTTTAATGGAGTTGTTGTGAATGGATCCTTCATAAGATTGTCTTCTTGGTGATTTTCCCCATTGCACATTGAATTCTGTCCTTTTCATTTTGAATTTTGAGGATCTGGAGTGAGGTGTGGTGATACACTGTATCTTGTTCCTTCATTGTAGACTGAAATATTTTGGCCCCCACTGTATGTAGTGTGTTTGATAATAGGATTTTATGACTCTTTAGGATGAATCAAGTTCTTCCTGAATCATGGTATGTTTGTGAACAGAATAGCTACCTTGATGCTCTATGCAAATAAGAGTAATTCTTTATGAATTATGGCCTTTGAGAAACTAACAGAATATGTAAAAAAAGTTCAAAAAGTTAAGCTTTTGTTTTATGTGTTGTGGAATAAAGAACTGTATTATAGCTTGTGACTAGTTAATTCAAGTGTTTGTTGATCTGAGTTTTAAAAGTAGTATTTAAAGGGCCAGAGAATGGTTAAGAGCACTTGCTGTTCTTGCAGAGGATGTGTATTCAGGTCTTAGCACCCACACGGTGGCTCACAACCATCGGTAACTCCAGTTCCAGAGGATCTGATGCCCTCTTCTGACCTCCATGGGCACCAGGCACATGATGCACATACATTCATGTAGACAAGACACTCATGCACATAAAAAAATAAGTATTAAAGAAATAGTATTTAAATTTTATTTTTATTTTGAATGTACAAAGTTACATCTGTCTTTGCATCAAGAATAAAAAATTCAGAGCATATAAAACTTTGCCTATGTGTGTAAATGCTGTAATTTAAATGGTAATTAGTCTTAGCCTAATTTTAATTTTAAAATACTTTCAGAATCCTAGCACTGGGGAGGTCAGGGCAGGAGGGTCCTGAATTTGAAGCCAGCCTGAGCTACTTAGGAAGTTCTGTACGTGCTGTGCAGTACATAGTGACACTGTCTCAAAAAACCACCTAATTGTACTCTTTGGAGCATAGTCCTCCATTTCATTCTTCAGGGAATGTTTATCCAGTAAAGATGAAAAGCAGTTTTCTGCCCAAGTCCTTCAGATACAAAATATATTTTCTTGTTTAACTTTAGATTATTAGCTAGTAACTTAATTTTTCTTTGTAGTTGCACAGAAGACTTTTTTTGCTTTGCAAATGTAGAATCTGAAGCCAAACACAGCATGCTGAAAGAAAGGAGTAATGTAGATATGGCGATTAAAAAAAATGAATCCTTGGGCTGGGGAGAGGGTATAGTGGTTAAAGGCTGAGGCTAACAACTAAAGTATGAAAAATGAGTCCTTTTGTTTAAATTTTATGATTTTATTGTCAACTTGACACAAATTAGAGTCACCTGGGAAGAAGGAGCTTCAACTGAGAAATTTCCTAGATGGAATTGGCCTATGGGTTGTCTGTGGGGCATTTTTTGGTTGCCTGTGGATGTAGGAGGACCTAGTCCGCCGTGGGTGCTACATCCCTAGGCAGGTGGGTCTGAGCTGTCAAAGAAAGCCAGCTTGAGCATGAGAAAGACAGACAAATGGAGATAGTAAGAGCCTTGCTCCATGGTCTCTGCCGCCAAGTTCTCGCCAGACTTGCCTCAGAGAAAACTGACCTGAACGTAAGATGAAATAAATCCTTTTCTCCCCAAGTTACTTTTGGTTATGGTGTTTATCACAGCAACAGGAAAGCACACTAAGACAGTGCCTAAATCCAGAAAGGGAATAGTGCTGTAATAAAAACTTTCCACTTCCATCTGTTGCTTGCATTTTCTGTTAGTAATATACCCCTTTATTCAGCTTCTATCTTTATGTTTTCTTTTGAATCGGCAGATCTTTTATCAGATTACTTCCCAAAAAAACTTTGAGCTGAATAACTGTTCACAGGCAGTTCCACTCTATATAAAGCCATAAAAACTGCTGAGGGAGCCTGTTACGATCTTTATAACAACACAAGAAATTCATATTTCAGCTTGAATTTCAAGACATAATTTTATAAATAATCTGAGCACATAGGTTGAGTATTCTAACTGAAGGAGAAGGGATTCATGCAAAAAATTACTTTTAAAAAGTTTTAAGTTTATGTGAATGTGTGTCTTTGGGTATGTATCACATATATATTTGTACCTCTGGAGGCCATTTGATCCCCAAGCTAGAGTTATAGGTGGTTGTCCAGGAACTGAACTCCTGTCCTCTGGAAGAGCAGGAAGTGTTCTTAAACACGGATCCATCTTTCTAGTACCCCCAAAGTATCTTTTGCCTAGGTTTTGTAGACTGTAGTCTGCATTCACACATCATACATATACACATACACATACATATATGGGGAAAAGACATAAGTGTATTGCTTTGGTATAAGTAATAGTTGGTTATTGTATTTACTTCTTGTGGTACTAGGAATTGGCTTTAGGGCCTTCTATTTGCTAGTCAAGGGCTACATCTCCAGCACTGGAAATTTTAAAGGGCATTTTGAGTTGAAAAAAGAAAATATGTGAAAATGGAAGACCAGGATTTTGTGTAATTTTGAAGGAGGAGGTGTTTTTATATTTTTAGTTTTTTGAAGTGGGAAAGGGAAGGATGGGCCACATGATACAGTATTGAATGCTGCACTAAATTTGAATCATGAAGTAGGAAGCTGGAAATCATTTGAAAGCTTTTGAACTAGGCAGGACTGTACAAGTAAAGTGTGACCCTAGCTTTTCTGTCTTTGAAATAAACTACTTGGAGGCTATATTTTAATGTATTAACATTTCTTTCTAAATAGAATATCAGTGTTTTTCATTTTGAGAATTGGTATTTGATTATAGGATGAAAGCTTTTTAACCTCATTAAAAGTGTATGTTTTATTAAACTGTAGAATATTCTGCTGTGATCCTAAATGTTCTGTGTCTCTGCTGCTAAATTGTGATGGTATTTGTGGTTGAATTTGTTGTTACCTGTATAAGAGGAAATAAAAATGATTTACTAGTTGATAATGTAAATTCAAATAAAGTGTCTTAGAATTGAAGACTCACATGCACTTGTACTAGATAAAGACATGAGTAGTCATAAATATTGTAGGAGATAATTTTTTTCTTGCTGTTTGTATTCTAAACATTACTTCTTGGGGAAGTAGTAATTTATTTGATTGATCAGTGTTAGAGTATAGGCTATAGTAGTAATCCATTTTCTTACACTGAATGAAGGAATGTGTTAACCTTGAAACTTCCGTTAATAAATGATTTTTAAAAATTGAATTTCTCCATTGAAGTACCTCTGAATTACCCTGACCACACACAACCAATTATGTGTGCATCACTCAGTTTTATCATCTGTAAAATGGAATGATTGAGATCCAGAATCTCACCTTTAAAGCAGTTGTGGGGGTTGGATGAGATAATTTGGAAAGCTTAGCACCGTGACTGGTATGGGGCTCAATAAATGTTACTAATTAGTTGTGGAATAAATGGAGAACCAAATATTTTGATTCCCTAAATTCATTATAGCAAACAGCACGGAAAGAAAAAAGGGAAGTTGATTTTAGCTCATGCCTATAATCCCAGCACTGGAGAGAATGAACTAACTCTCGTTCTAGGTCATCTGGGCTACAGTATATAGAGACAGCCTGGTCAACCTGGGCTCTATAGGGCAGGAGATGCTACTTCAAAAAGACAGACACAAGCTGGGGTGTGGTGGGGCCTGTAATCACAGTACTCAGGAGGTTGAAGCAGGAGGATTGCTGTGAATCACTATACATTAAATTGCTGTAAATTAAAGTGACCTCTATTTGTATGTAAGTGTTTTTCTTTGGGATGTTTATTTTTCCTTTTTGCCTTTTTGGCAGTTTCCAGTATCTTCTGTATTAAGTACTTTTCTTATTGCTGTGATCAGATGCTTGTCAAGAAGCAGCTTAAGGAATGAAGGGTTTGTTTGGGCTCTGCAGTTTGAGGGTACAGTCCATGATAGAAGAAGGCATTGTGGTGGAACTGAAGTAGCTGGTCACATACCCATAGTCAGGAGGTGGAAAGTGATGAGTGCTAGTGCTTTGCTCCCTTTCACTGATTTATTCAGGGCCAGACCCCAGCCCATGGAAAAGTGTGACTCTCATTCAGGGTAGTTTTCCTGTCTGTCTGGAAACAAGTTTGGACACACCTGGATGTATGTTTCTTTGTTGGTTCTCAATCTTGCCAGGTTGGCAATCAAAATTAGCCATCATAATCTTATATCAGTAATTATTTGTTGCATGAATAAACTTTTCTCAGTTTTGTGTTCTTTTATCCTGACTTTTCATTGTTTTGTCTTAATTACTACAAATCATATGAAATTATTTTTTAAATAGTTCAACAACAGTTGTATACCAGTACAGATTGACTCCAGTAGTAAAACTCTGGTAGTCTTGTCTTACCTGTCCTTATTCGTGGCCTTTCTACCATTATCTCTAGCTAATTTTTTTTTTTTTGGTCTTTTTGAGACAGGGTCTCCCTGTAGCCCCAGCTGTCCTGGAATTCACTATGTAGACCAGGCCGGCCTTGAACTCACAGAGATCCGCCTGCCTCTGCCTCCTAAATGCTGGGATTAAAGGCATGCGCCACCACGCCCGGCTTAGCTACTTCTTTTTTTGTAAAACAAGGTCTCACTGTATAACCTAGGTGTAACAGTGGGTTCCTGAGCTCACTGCTTTCTTGAGCATTGCTCTTTTGAAACTATTTGAAAATGTCCTGTTGTTAAATTCAGTGGTGTTGTCTTGGTGCTCAGTGTTTTTGCCCACAATCAACATTGGTGACTTTTCATTGTTCTGTCGTAATTTTGGTTTAGCTGTAGAGTTTAGTCTTTTAGGGGAGTAACTCCCAAATCCCTAACTTCTAGGTGTGACCATGTTCCATATTACAGGCCCATATTTCCAGTTGTTTGCCAGATACCTTTTAATACAGTGGTACTTAGAGCCATTATATGCCAACGTACACTGGTGACATTAATATATTTCTAGTTGCTTGAGCTTAAAACCTCAGACATCTTTGACTCCTTGATTTTTTTTTGTTGTTGTTGTTTGTTTGTTCTTGGGGATCATATTTCTGGACTCAGACTCATTATGTAGCACAGGCTGGCCTTGAACTCACCCATCTATTTTTTTCCTCTGTGCCCAGGTTCTCTTATATGTGTATACTGCTTCCTTACTATCACCAATGTTAGTTGTACATTCTTAAGTACTTGTATTCATAGTTAACCTTAAGCTTTCCCATTTCCATTTTCTTCTGTTACTCCTATTTCTCAATGTTATCCCTGTTTCTATATTACTTACTGATTCTCTTTTGCTTTTAGAGTAAAATCTGGGCTTTTAAGCCTGATATTCAAGGCCTGATCTGTGACAAAGTATGAATAGAAGGAAGATTGAAGAAGCTTCTGGGTTTAACGTTTTTAGTCTAAAGGTGTTCAGAGATGAAACTAAGATACTGGTTAAAGGTCTTCATGTTTGAGCTATATATCCTCCAGCCCATGAACTTGATTTCTTAGTAGATTATTGATACCCATACTAGCTAAAATGCATTGGGTCATAATATCTGTATCCTTTTAAACACCATTTGTATATTAATTTGCTTTCCTAAGCTGTTGGCCTGGCCCTAATGGGGTTTAGGCGCTTCCTTTTAGGTGCTGTCATTTTTGTTATTGTTCTAATTATTTTCTGCTACTTTATAAGTAAGTCTCTTCAGAGTCAGTCCCAATAAAAAGATTGTTTTAAATGCTAGTTTGTTTTAAATGATGATCTTGACAAGAATTCCTTCACTTTCTTTTATAGGAAGGACCATTAAGACCTGTTCTTGAATATATTGATCTGGTCAGCAGTGATGATGAGGAGCCTAGTACATCTCATAGTGATGTAAGTACATTGCATTTAATTTAAGCTATTCCATTTATGTCAGTTAAGAGGTCTTTATTCTAAAGAGTTAAGAAAGTAGTGATGTCTGTGTGTAAGAGCAGTAGTGCTTTAGAGAATGGCCCCTTTTTCTTAGAATGGGCCAGCATAAGTAGTTCAAGGAGTCTTTTGTCTAGAATAGCCCCTGCTTCAGTTTTCTTTCTCTATTTTCAGTGAGGGTATGGAAAGATAAAATGACTCTAGGAAAATTTGAACATTGGGAGTAATAGCTTATAAAAAGGAAATGTAATAAAAACTGCAAGCTTTTTGGTTACCTTTGCCTTTCTCCTTTCATACAACTCTCATCTGGTATCCTATAGAACTGAATTCTTTACTTTCAGAACTGTGTGGCCACAGAAAATTTATCTTGGAAGAAAGGATGCGTAACGATCCTTTAGGAAGTGAAATGTGGATAAATTATTTGTCTTCATTTCTTATAACCTCTTCTTTCTCCCGCCATACTTGGAATTATTACATGTGACTTTCTAGCTGTAGGTTTGACCTTAAACCAATACCTTACTCTGAGAATTGGAACTACTTGAGCCCTTTGTAGCAATGTTGGCTTTCATTTGTTGTTACCTGAGCCCAAATTTCTACTAATGAACTCTTTTCTTGATGGGTTAGAGAATTCCTGTCTTTTGCTCTTGGTGGCCAGAAAGCTTCTTGCTGTATGATATGGGGAATTGAGACTTGGACATGGGATCAGAATGCCTCAGTTTGAGATCACTTACCCCTCTCTTGGATAGATTAATTTATTAATCTCAGGGTTGTGTTTTTTTCTTTTGTTTTTGTAATTCAAATGAGAATACCTACCTCACAGGGTTGTTGTGAGGATGTTACAGGAATATACAAATGAAAAGTTTTGTTATTCATGGAGAGTAATAGAATTTTTTAAAGGGACTTAAAAATGCCCTAATGAGGGAGTTTTAAAAAGTTTTTTCTCCTTGCCGGGCATGGTTGCACATGCCTTTAATCCCAGCACTCAGGAGGCAGGGGCAGGGGATCTCTGTGAGTTCAAGGCCAGTCTGTTCTACATAGTGAGTTCTAGGCCAGCTGGGGCTACAGGGAGACCCTGTCTCAAAAAGACCCAAAAAAAAAAATTTTTTTTTCTTCTTAGTAGAATGATGTTCAAGTTTTCCCTGCCATCATTATCTTCCACTTGTTGACTTTTATATATTGAGTTTGTTTTTCTATGATTAGCTGTTATTACCAGTGACCTCACCACTATGTCTTGTCTTAGCCTGGGATCTAGCAGCAGGCCAGGATAGTACCACTTAAACTGAGGGTTTTGTTTTGGGTTTTTTGTTGTTTTGTTTTGTTTGTATGGTGTAGCCCTGTGTACATGTTTGTGTGAATATGTATAAGTGTGTGTGCAAGCCAGAAATTGATGTTAGGTGTCTTCCTCAGTTGCTTGCTGCCCTATTTATTTTTTAAGGATCTCTTATTGAATCTGGAGCTCACTGATTAACTAGACTTTCTGGCCAATAAGCTTCAGGGATCTACCAGTGTCCGTCTTCCCAGTGCTTGGCTTACAGTTGTCCAGCTACATGTCTGGCTTTTATTCGACAAGCACTTTACCTGCTGAACCATCTCTGTAGCCCCAAACTAAGCATATTTTTAATCACTGTTTTTTTTATAGACAGGGTCTAACATTAACACCTAGTTTTTATATGGGGTTCAGGGTAATGAATCTTATGGACTTCTGTTATTCTTTGCTGTCCTATAATGGACTGTGTTTGTCATTTTTATTTATAATAATATAAAATTTAAATTCTACTTACTGGACATGCATCTCTGCACTTGAAAGTTAATATATTAAAAGCATATTTTTTTTCTTCCTTGGTTTTCTTGTTCATCTGGATAACCCAGAGAATGCCTGAATCTAAAGTGCCATCCTCTGAGAATCATCGCCCAGAAATGTGCTCTAGCTGCAGTGTTCCTCTTCCCATTGGAGACAGCAGCTCCTCCTCTGGGAGTTGTGCCAGCAGCCCACAGAGAATAGTTTCTCAACCTTCTTCTGTTGAGAATCCATTGGAGAACCAGAAAAATGATCAAAATAATTCAGATATTAAGATCTCTGAGACAGAGACACTTAAATCACAAAATAACCAGACTTTGCCTTCATCTTCACTTCTGGTCCCCCAAGAGTCTTTGGCTTTTTCTGAGGTCAAAGAGGATTTACCTATCACGATGTCTTCAGCTTCACAGCATGGACAAGATGCCATCCTCTATCTCCAGACACAAGTGGCTGAGATGTCCCGAGTGATACGTGATCTTCAGTCCAGGAGCTGTTTCAGATTTCATCATTCTAGGCCAAGTGAGAACTCCTCAGTTCCTTGGGATATCCCCACCTCTAAGGAAGACAGTTTATCCACAGCTGAAGAAGAGGCTGATTGCAAATCCCCATCAGCTGAAGACAAAGGGCAGCCAGCTGACCCTACTCAATCTAGTTTCACAGGTCTTTTAAAAAGAATGGAACAAAGAGGCATTATAAAGAGGGTAACAGTACAGTCTGAAGCTGAAGCATGTGAAGGGAAGTCTGAATGTATGACCTCTAAAAAACGTTTGGTTCCTCCATTGCATCCTCTTTTGAGAATTGCCACCACTGAAGTTTTTAAAGACCCTGCTGATTGTCATCCTTCTTCCTTCATGGGACATAGGGTATATCCTGTGGCCAAGGACACCTCTCCTTTCCAGCCAAATCCTCCAGCTGAGGGACCCATTGTAGAAACATTAGAACATAGTAAAAGAGGAAGTACAACATCTCCTCTAGACTCTACCTCAAAAGAAATGGAGGTAATGGGCTGCAGGTTCTACCATGCTGCCTCCATTGCAGCCCGAGCTGCTAGCTACATGGCCTATATGACTCAGTATCAGCGTAAACTCTGGGAAGACATGGAGGATCTAGTTCATGACCCAGAATTTGATCGTGGAAAAGCAAGGTGTATAATATCTGATGGCATGGATGCAGGACTTTGGCAGCTTTGTACCACTAGAGACATAATGGACTCTGTAGTCAGAGTTATGGCCATGGCAGTAGACTACAGAAGACAGGCCTGGCTCCGACTTACATCTCTGACTAAGAAAACCCAGGAAAAGATCTTACACTTGCCCTTCGATGGTTCTTCTCTTTTTGGACAAGATGTGAATGCTATTGTTGCAGAAGACAGTAGTATTAAAGAAAATGAATATAGAGATCACAATAAGTACTACACCCAGCATCGATACTTTTATAGTCATGATCAGAAAGCACATTATCACAGCAGAGGGTACTCCAGAGGAGATTGGTACAAACCCCGAAATCACCCCTACAGATACAGAAAAAAAGGAGACTCCCCAGAACGTCATGGGTATAAGAATTAACAGCCTGTTGATGTTTAGCAGATTAGTCGCCCAAGAGCTTATGTATTTTACTTGTTCTTCTCCACTCAAACAGGATATACAGGTGGTGGGTCATCTAAAAAAATGAATGCCTGTCTGGAATGGTCACAGCTGATGTTTCAATTGTAGCCATATGGAATGAAGTATCTAATAAAAAGACTTAAGCTTTATTGGCCAAATGGAGATTTTGCTGAAAGGAGTGTTGGACAGAGGTGTATCCATTGTTTTTGGTCCAAAATAAGTCCAGAGGAGGGTACTCAGGAGTCTGAATCTTCCTGGGATTAAAAGAAAATTTGCAGATTTGTTCCTCAGGAAAATCTTGTTAGTAAACTGAGGACTAGCAGATTTAAGATCTGGAAACAGTTTCCTACTAGATCAGTATTTACTAAGACCAGAAATGTAAACCCATCATTTTAGGTCATCAGTACTTCCTTCTTCAGGCTCAGATAGATCATGGATGGATCTGGTATAGTCCCTATGCCAAGATGATCAGCTCGCCATGAGCTCATACTGTCAAGCTCTGTGAGACTTCAGAATCACCCATGAAGCTATGTGTCAGCTGAAATTCACTAAAATTTTTGTCAAATCCAGTATGCTTCTACCTGGGATGACTAAATGTCACAGGTCTACTGTGGGAATGAACATGGAAAGAGTTTCCTACCTGTAACATCACTGTAAAAAATTTAACTGTAACTGTCTTCATCATGATTGTGATGGTCACCATACCATCACTACTCGGAAAGCTACATGTGATATAATTCTTGTTGTCATCAGTCCTAGTGTTTGACGTTATCAAGCTCTCAACCATCTGTGATTTCTGAGAGACTCAGAAGTCTCTCACCATAATGAGGGCCTGTCACTAAGATGGACCTTCTTAAACTTCTAAGCAGTTGATTCTTTTGAGCTTGATAGTGTATTGTACTCCTAATACAATAAACAAATGCATCCTTGTTCTGGAAAGTCAGGATACTATTTCCATCATCTAGGCATGCAAATCTGAACCTCTCTAAGAGCAAGAATTCCAAACATACCTGACAATCTGGTCCCTTTTTTGAAAATAAAGGGGGATGCCATTAGTCTAGATTTTATTGAGAAATCCTTAAGATGTAAAGCATAACTGGGTGTTTTGAAGACAGCAAGATAACATAACTGTTTCTGGATATCTAAATGATAATATTGATTTCTCAAAAGACTAGAATCAAGACTTCATTGACATGTTCTTGGTTAATTTTTCACTTAATGCAGTCAAACTCACTGTACGAGATGACTTTTTACTCACAGTAATTGATTTCTAACCCGGAGCTGACAGCAGATACCTCAGTTATATTAACATGTCCCACAGTATCTTCTCTTTAATCTCAAGGCAATGGCTGTATGGTATACCATCCCTATGTCCTTGTCTTCACAGCATGACTCTGGGAACAGAGAAAATGTCAAGTTTGAGGAGGTCTGAACACATCACCTACTGTAACTTGGCAGCCAAAAAAAAGTTTTTTTTCCACAGATGTAATTCTGTAACCTGGTTGGTCAGATATCTACCTTTTTTTGTGTTAAATCTGCTTGATTAAAATGTTTTAGGTATA